CTGTTTGAGCCCTGCCCTAATACTTTTCGTGTAAAGGAGAGTGTCTGTAAGATGAAGGACCCTGGGATGCATGCCGCTGTCTCGGCTAACACAATGACACAATTCGAGAACACATGTCATACAGAAAATGATATCTTCAAGAGAACTGAAGACGATGAAAGGCTAGCCCCTTCCATGGATGATCTGACTTTCCTCCATATCATGAAACATGACCTCTACAAAGACACAGACAACAGTTGGGTAGCCCCTCTCCCCTTCAGACCTCAGAGACAAGGTCTGCCTAACAACAAAGAACAGGCCTTGAATCGCTTTAGGTCATTGCAACGATCTTTCTCAAGGAAGCCTGATATGAAAGGGCACTTCTTTGACTTCATGGAGAATATACTGCAGAGAGGCCATGCCGAAGTAGCCCCTCCACTCAAGAAACAGGAGGAATGTTGGTACTAACCGCTGTTTGGGGTCTACCACCCAAAAAGGCCAGGCCAAATCAGGGTGGTCTTTGACTCAAGCAGTCAGCATGATGGGGTGTCTCTCAATGACATACTCCTCACAGGCCCCGATCTTAACAACAGTCTCCTTGGGGTCCTCATGCGCTTTAGGAGAGAAGCAGTGGCTGTTACTACAGATATACAGCAGATGTTCCACTGCTTCATAGTCAGACCACAAGACAGGAACTTTCTCAGGTTCTTCTGGTATCAAGACAATGACGAGATGAAGGACGTCACTGAGTTTAGAATGAAGGTCCATGTCTTCGGGAACAGCCCTTCCCCCGTTGTGGCGATTTATGGCCTCAGACAAGCAGCAAGAGAAGGAGAGGCCAAGTATGGAGCAGATGCTCGAGAATTCGTGGAGAAAGACTTTCATGTTGATGATGGCTTAAAATCATTACCAACCGCTGCAGCCGCCATCGATCTCCTCAAAAGAACAAAAGAGATGCTGGCTTGTTCCAACCTGAGGCTCCACAAGATCGCCTCAAACTGTAAACAAGTCATGAGTGCTTTCCCCATGGAAGATCACGCCAGCGGTCTGAGAGACTTGAACCTGGGCTGTGACGTATTGCCTGTTCAACGCACTCTTGGAGTCACCTGGGACCTCGAGAGCGACACATTTATGTTCCAGGTATCAAGAGAAAAGAAGCCATTCACCCGCTGTGGTGTCCTGTCTATCGTGAATGGCCTATACGACCCCCTTGGACTCGCTGCCCCAGTTATAATCCAAGGCAAGGCCTTACTTAGAGACCTCACAACAGATGCCAAAGACTGGGACACACCTTTGCCCATTGAAAAGCAGGAGCAGTGGGAACAATGGAGAGACTCTCTGCAACAGCTCCAAAACCAGGCCTTACACCCAAGCTTCCTCTTCCACTGCTCTAAACAGAGAGCTTTGCATATTCTCAGACGCCTCTGTCTTAGCAATAGGTGCAGTGGCGTACCTGAGGGTCTCAGACTCGAATGGAAACCTCCAGACAGGGTTCATTCTGGGTAAGGCCAAGCTCGCCCCACGTCCAGACTTGACCATTCCACGCCTTGAACTCTGTGCTGCTGTGTTAGCTGTCAATATGGCTGAACTCATAAAATCTGAGACGGACATCAAATTTGACAAAGTGACCTTCTTTACCGACAGCAAGATAGTCCTCGGTTACATCAATAATGACAAGCGGAGATTCTATGTCTTTGTGAACAATAGAGTCCAGAGGATTAGGAAAAGTACTCAACCCCAACAGTGGCATTACGTGCCAACTGATCACAATCCTGCGGACCTAGCCACAAGATCTGTCCCTACAGCTCGCCTTAAGGACACAACATGGCTCACAGGTCCACCATTCCTAACTCAGCCTAACCAGACACCAAGTAGTGAGGACACGTTTGACTGGGTAGACCCTGATGAAGATACAGACGTGCGTCCTAAAGTAACAGCACTCAGCACTACAGTCAAAGAAGCTCAGCTCGGCACAGGCCACTTTGAGCGCTTTTCAACATGGATGTCACTACTTCGCAGTGTGGCACACCTGATGCACATTTCTCGCTCTTTCAAAAGAGACCTGTCCCCAGAGTCTAAAGACTGCAAGTGTTGGCATCACTGCGCCAGAGCCTGTGCTGCGAATGAGCTAGCACGAGCCAAGACTACTATTGTGATGGCTGTACAGGAAGAGGCCAATTCAAGTGCATAAAGAGAGGTGAGAACCTATCCAAGGATAGCCCTCTCTCTGCCTTGAGTCCATTCACTGGTGACGATGGCCTCCTCAGAGTTGAGGGACGTCTTTCTAGAGCAAACATTGGACACGATGAAATGAATCCCATCATAATCCCAGGAAGACATCACCTGGCCAGCTTGATAGTGAGACACTATCACGAGCAGTCTCAACATCAGGGGCGACATATAACTGAAGGTGCTGTTCGCTCCGCAGGTTTCTGGATTCTGGGGGCCAAACGATGTATATCCTCTCTAATCTTCAAGTGTGTCACGTGTCGGAGGCTTCGTGGGAAATGTGACGTGCAAAAGATGGCAGACTTACCCCAGGACAGAGTCAGCGTTGAGCCTCCATTTACATATGTTGGGATTGATGTGTTTGGGCCCTGGGCTGTCTCTGCTCGTCGCACCAGGGGAGGCCATGCTGATGCCAAGAGATGGGCAGTGTTGTTCACCTGCCTAAGCATAAGAGCCATCCACAATGAAATCATAGAGAGCATGGAAACCTCTAGCTTCATAAATGCAATGAGATGCTTCATTGTTGTTCGTGGTCCAGTAAAGCAGATACGATCTGACAGGGGTACCAACTTTGTAGGAGCATGCAGAGAACTGGATATCCCCTCCAACCTTGATGAAAACAAAGTAACCAGGTTTCTTGCAGAACAAGGCTGCTCTTGGGTTTTCAATCCACCCCATGCCTCCCATATGGGGGGTGCCTGGGAGCGGATGATTGGAGTCATGCGGAAAATCCTGGACTCAATGATGCTTCAGATAGGACCTTCAAGAATGTCTCATGAGGTCCTTACCACCTTAATGGCCGAGGTGACCGCCATTGTGAGCTCGAGGCCTCTGGTACCTGTCTCCTCGGATCCAGAGGATCCCTTTGTCTTGACTCCATCGACTCTACTTACCAAGAAACCTGGTCCATCCTGTTGGGAATAGAATGATGTTATGTGTTTTACTATAAGTTGTGTTTCACTATATAAGTTTTAGATGTGTGAACAATGAGAATACTGAGATGATTTCAGCTGATCTGAATGTGTTTGCTTTGCAGAAGTGGAGAAGTACAGGAGAGGAAGAGACATGGAGTCTGAGGAGCACATACCGCAATGCTTAGATAATTAGTTTCATATATGGTAAAAAGAATAGAAAGTGATATACAGATAGTAAGGTACAGCACATGTAGGGAGTTGTGTTGTTCTCTTGTCTTTCAAAACAGGAACCACGCCCCCACCGCCAGCGGGAAGGAGTCAGATTAACACGAGGCAGTGTGGCGTGGTGTGGTGAAGGAGGAAGTGGAACTGCCAATGAGAAGAGGACAACGCCTTGCGTGCACAATGACACTCTGTTACGCTCAAATATACTGGGTCAGGGAAAGGACAGGAGGTCAGACTTCGTGAACTGACACACCTTTGTTGTTCGTCAGGGACGTGAAGTTGAGACCCAGAGCTCTGTAATTTTATTCCTTTACTGCTTAATAAACTACATTAACTGAGACCGAATATCTTCTCCTATTGCTTCATTAAAGAACACGCAGGACTGAGCTCACACATAGCACATTAGAAAGTAGAATGAGACTCTTAGTCCATCAATCCCCTAGTCCTCCAGGCGAATTTGATGGAACCAACCTTTACAGACACCAGTGGAAACAGGTGCAAAGTCTGGCAAGCACCTTTTGGGACAGGTGGCAGAAACAATACCTGTCTACACTTCAGCCAAGAAGAAAGTGGCAAGCTGAAAAGCAAAACATCTCAGTTGGGACTGTGGTACTCATGAAAGACTGTCAGTCCAAACGGAATGAATGGCCACTAGGGCGCATCACCAAAGTGTTCCCAAGTGAAGATGGGAAGATCCGTAAGGTGGAGGTCAACGTTGCGGGCAAAGAGGGCTTGAAGTTGTTTTTAAGACCGATAACTCAATTAGTGGTACTTCTTCCCGCTGAGTAATGATAGAACAGTTTCATCTTATGTTTACAGGATTATGGTATCCTAGGAGATACCAGGCGGGGAGTGTGCTGTTCATAGTATTTAAAAGTAGTTAATGTTCATTGTCTCTTTAAGAGCTATTGTTTACTGATGACATCATCAACACTCGCCTTGTAGTGCAGCAAGTGTTGCAATTGGTTTGAAAGGAGGCCTCATGGAGTGAGGAGCGAATCTTCATTGGTCTTTGCTACATTTCATGCCCTTTGGAAGCCACTGTCGGTATGTTTTTCGATTGAAATATGTCCTAAGTTACTTTTGATGGTCGTATTAAGAAGTTAATGTTGAGTTTAATCTTTTTCTGCTTTATCCCACTGCTTTATCCCACCATGCTGATGTTAGCATACTAGCTCTTGAGTAATTATGCTAGCTGGATAAGATATGATTTATTAGTAGCTAAGTGCATAATATGTTGCTAGTTATTTAGCCTATCTCTGAAACACAGAAATGTTAATTCATTGACATGCTGAATGTACAATGCAAGATTTATTAATGATGCTCAGTGAATTTCTTTGTGTTTTGTAGTTTTACCCTACTTCTGATTGCCAATAAACGGAGTTGAGCCAGACCCTCCAGCGTGGTAATTTAGGAGAGGAGTTATCTGTCTGCCGGTCTGTGCAGGGCGTACAGAGGTGGCAGAACAATGGCCATTATATGTATATTATTTTCTTGCATAATAGAGCTCAACTCATCAACCTTATTCTTTAAACTACAAATGTTGAAGTGTGCAAGTCTTAAACCCTTTTTTGGTAGTTTAAGCATCTTTGCAAAAAGAAATAGTTAAAGATCACACATACCCATATAACCTTAATCCAGCCTTTGCTGGGTTTCTTTATTACAATAGTTCATTTAGCTCCTCCAAGCTCCTGATGCATAAAACTTTAGCCTGTTCTGGATTTCCATTCAATTTGACAAATACCTTACAGTTGTGGGTCCACGTAGGCTGCAGCTTTCCCTGTTTCCTCAAGAATCTTGCTTTTCTTGCAATGTCAGCATTTCTTTTGATGAGATGCTCATTTAGATATACATCAGTGCCCTTTAGCTTTCTGCCCTGTTTGAGTAGGTGAACTTTTTTCTTTCTATTGGCAAATCTGATAATGATGACATGATTGGCTACCCTGTCTGTCTTGTTACCTACAGGAATTGTGTGACATGCTTCTATGTCATCTCTATCGATTGAGATGTTTTTCTCTTGCAGAAAGGCAGTCACTAAGGCTTCAGTTGACTCTTCATGTCTGTCCTTATCTTGTCGGTCTTCTCCCTCCACTGCTTTGGAATATGATTTTGGTTTGATTTTTAGTCCTGTCATAATAACATCATTAATTCTTGAGTACTGCTCCAAGTCCAGCAAGCGGTTCTCTAAAGAAATAATTCTGTTCTCATGCTCCTCATTCTAATTCTTGATTTCACTTATTTCCTTCATGAGGTTCATCATGGTGCTCATCTTATTTGTCATGTTGGTAATGTCCTGAGACATCATGTTTACCGCATTCTTCAGGTCTTCTATGCCTTTCTTTAGTTCTTCTGTTGCCATTTTGCTCTGCTGGTATGTTAAAACAAATTAGACAACACTGACCCAGTAGAGGCGGCTTCTGCTGCGGCCTGGTGGTGGAAGCTGCTGTGGCCTGGTGGTAGTAGCTGCTAAGGCCTGGTGGTGGAAGCTGCTAAGGCCTGGTGGTGGTAGCTGCTGTGGCCTGGTGGTGGAAGCTGCTGTGGCCAGGTCGTGGCTACAGCTGAGGCTGTTGGCTAGTCTGCCACCAGGGATGACAGGCCTAGTTCCAGTCCACCAAATATCACCTTTAGACTTCACAATCCACAGCCAAAAATCATCAAACACCACTTCTCACCAACCAGCAGTGAATAAAAGAAGAATTTGACGGCAGTCACAGTCTCTTGTTTATGTGATATCCTGTATGTGGTTGTGGTGTATATATTCCCCGTCCTCTCTTTCAGGAGAGAGCATCAGCCATTGTTCATCTCTCTCTTTCACAGTTCCTCCTCATCATTTGAATTTGTCTATGTAATCAGGAATTGGGAATAATTCTGGTATTTCCTACCCTCTCTGTGCCAGAAGAATTCTGCGCACCAATTGTTCAGGGGTCAGCATATTTAGCATTTGTGCTCCTTGTATGCCCGTTACAAGGTTCAGCTTCTTGTCCATTGCTCTCTCACACCATTTCTTCAAGATAGGCACGATGCAACATGTCAATAAGGAAAACAGAATTAATACTATCAGTACAATTATCCCTGTTTTAGACAAAACGGCTCTCCATTTTCCAAAAATTTCCTCTAACCCATCCCACTTGATGCTTCCACCATTACCAGCATTTTCAGTCTTTTCAGATTTTAAGGCTTCAAGCTTACTCATAGCAACAGAAAATGTTCCATCAGGCGAAGTGTTATTCGAAATAAACGTACAACAGAGCGTCCCGAACATTTTACATACCTTTTCTGCTAAAATCCAATTTAAAGCTTGCCTATTCTACCACGCCATGGCACTAGTTTCATGCAGTTGCTGACCTAATTGCTTAAGAATTTCAAATGTGTAGTATCTCTGTTGGTCGTGATCATACAAGAATTACTCAACATTACAAAAACAACTTGTTATAAGGAGTCCTTCCTATTGCGAAATCTGACATCTGGTCAACTGTTTCTAAGACCTTTTGCAACTGACATTATTTTCACATTTAATATAGAACAGTACATTATCTGCCTCGACATCAGCTCTCACACATGAGAGTCCTACGGGGAGGAATCTGGTGGTCCAACATAGGATTATAATTGAAATAAAAAGACAGATAAAAATAATCAAAGACAAAAGTAAGATATCAACACAGCTATCAGGGCATGGGGAGGAAGCGGCAGGAAGATGTTTGCCTGGCCCTGAAAATGTCCAAAACAATGCAGGGTAAACACATTTGTGGGCTTTAATATCACTACCAACATCGGTCACATCAGGGCGGGTTCTCTCTGGTGTGAACACGTTGGTGGATTTTTAGGTCAAACCGTTCGATAAAAGCTTTCTCACACTAGTCACAGCTGTACGGGTTCTCTCCTGCATGCCGGCATTGGTGGGTTCTCAATTGACTGCACCGGGCAAATAATCTTCCACATTGGTCACACCAGTACGGTTTCTCTCCTGTGTGAATACGTTGGTGGTTTTTTAAGGCCCCTGACAATGCAAAGGCTTTGCCACATTTATCACAGCTGTACGGTTTCTCTCCTGTGTGAATACGTTGGTGGTCTTTTAAGGTCCCTGACCGTGCAAAGGCTTTGCCACATTGTTCACAGCTGTGTGGTTTCTCTCCTGTGTGAATACGTTGGTGACTTTTTAAGGTCCCTGACAGTGCAAAGGCTTTGCCACATTGTTCACAGCTGTATGGTTTCTCTCCTTTGTGAATACGTTGGTGGTCTTTTAAGGCCCCTGACCGTGCAAACGCTCTGCCACATAGATCACAGCTGTATGGTTTCTCTCCTGTGTGACTACGTTGATGGGTTTTCAGGTTACTTAACCATTTGAAAGCTTTGCCACATTGATCACAGCTGTACGGTTTCTCTCCTGTGTGATTGCGTTGATGGACTTTCAAGTGTTTTGAATGTGTGAAAGCTTTGCCACATTGATCACAGCTGTATGGTTTCTCTCCTGTGTGAATACGTTGGTGGCTTTTTAAGGCCCCTGACAGTGCAAAAGCTTTGCCACATTGATCACAGCTGTATGGTTTCTCTCCTGTGTGAATACGTTGGTGGTCTTTTAAGGCCCCTGACCGTGCAAAGGCTTTGCCACATTGATCACACCTGTATGGTTTCTCACCAGTGTGGATATGTTTATGAGATATTAGGATTCTGATTTGGGAAAACTTTTTCCCACAGTGATCACAGCCGTACGGTTTCTCTCCTGTGTGAATTCTTTGGTGAGTTTCAAGGGACATTAGTTGCGAAAACGTTTTCCCACATTGGTCACAGCAGTGCGACTTCTCTGCAGTGTGAACACGCTGGTGACTTTTTAAGCTATGTAGAGTGGTGAAAGCTTTCTCACATTGATCACAGCTAAACAGTTTTTCTGCTGTGTCAATGTCTTGTTTTTTTGAGGTCCTTGACTCTGTGAAATCCTTCCCACTTTGGAAAAAACTGTACAGTTCCCCATCAATGTGAATGCGTTGATGGGCTTTGAGGGCACTGCAGCGCAAAAATGATTTCTCACAATGGTCACAGCTGTATGGTTTCTCTCCAGTTTGAAATCTTTGATGAATTTTTAAAGATCCAGATGTTGTGAAGGATTTGTCACGGTGGTGACGTATAAGTTCCTCTCTTCCTCTTTGTTCCTATAGCAACAAACAGAAAAAGAGTTAATTAGTTGTCACGGTGCAGCGAGCCAACTAAAACCATAAATAACATTTAAAGCATGTCTGCGAAACATAACCCACAATGTCTGACTAATGCATTGCCACCAACAAATGTTATGATAAATAACTTACAGAATAGTTTTTATTTAGGTTTTGAATTTTTGATAGGAATTGATACCAATACTACTTATCAATGCGACTCTCACTGATACTTCTCTCCATAATTTAGTGGTTTAGTGGTTTTGGGTTGGACCTGAGATTCTTGACTTGTGCTCATGTCTCCCCCATGACTGTACAGGCTAACCGCCACACCAAAGTCTTTTCTCATTTTATTTAAATATTTATCAGCTACTTTTCATAACCCACATAAACCATTTGTCATAAATCAGATTCACTGTGCAGCACTTATTCAGAAAGACAATGTGACTCTTAAAGGGGCAATAAGCGGAAATTCATCATTTCTCGATTGAAGGAATTAAAAAAATCGCTATGCGAAGAATTAGAAGTGTAATTTCGTATAGCATGACGTCACACACCCTCTCTCTGTGTTGATCTCCAGCCCAAGCCCAACGTCCACCTGAAGACAACCATGATCCGACATTACCTCTAAAGAAACAACGGTTGTTGGCAAAGAAGTTGTCGGAAAAAGAAAGGGGACAGAACCCAGATTAACATTGGCCTTGCATTTCCAAGGTGGAGAGCACTGCGAGAGCTAAAGGGGCTACAATTTGACTTGGAGCTAGCTCTTCTTCTCCTGGACAGGTAACGTTAAGTAACAACATAAAGTCAAATTTCTATTGTAGTGTTACAGTAACGTTAGACACATGTTACACGTTAGACATCGCTATGTCGATACAATTAAATTTAATGTTACAATCGTAGTATGGGTTAATGTCCGGAGCTTGAGTTATTAGTGGCTCGGTCCCAGCAATGGGTCAGGCGTTACATTTGTGTTAGGTGAGTAGCCCGGCAGCCCAGCTAACATTTGCAATTAGCATTGTAAAATGTAGCCAGACTAAACATAGCTCTCACTCAAGGAGAAGAGTAGGAAAATTAGCGGAGAGCAGAGGTAGAGGGAAGGGTGGCTTATGACACACTCTGTTTTGGTCTACAGGCAGTGCACAACAGCAAACCTAGCGGTGAAATGATTTTGCTTTTTGCTCCTTTAAAGCTGGTCCCCCTGTTGCTCCCATTATTTCCTTCTTCCAAAACAGTGGTGAAGAACACCAGCAGTTAATGTCAGGAGTTGAGTTTCCATTAAAACAAAATTATTATGACTGCTGTGCCAAATTAATCCAAGCACAGTAGGGCTGCCACGGTATAAGATTTTCATGGTACAATAACTATTTAAGAATATAATGTGTTTCAGGGTATCACAGAATTTATATTACGATTAGTGTGAATGATCCAGTTTTGATCTATTTTATACTTCAGATTTATATTGTTTGGCATTAATTGATGACAGAAAAGAATGAATTTCATTCTGCAAGGAAACGCTTGTCCTTACTGTGCATATGACAATAAACACTTTGTACCTTGAATCTATATGTTTTATGAAGACCCTATGTGCGCTCAAAGCTGTGGCACAAGTTATGCACCGAAATCTGGCGGAAGAAAAAATAAGAAGAAGAAGAAAAATAAGTATGAGGAATAACAAGTGTGTTCCTGTATGTGCTGTGCACATCAGGCACACAAATAAAATGAATCATGATGACGATCATTTATCATAATTTGTCTGCACATATGCCACATCTGCATGCACATATGAGATCACGTACGTGCTGAACCGTGGAGAGGGATCCGCATGGATCACGGATCAACGATGATCCGTTGCACCACTAGTGGACAAAGTGAACAAAGGGACAAAGGGACAGAAGAAGGACGCCACTATCAACAAAATGCCCAGACCAATAATCATACAGTTCGCAATGCCAACTATTCGAGATGAGATATGGAAAAAATCAAGAGAGGCAAGAGTCTGCAAAGAGATGAACATTCAGTTCAAGGAAGACTTTTCAAAGGAGGATCGTGAAGCCCCGGCTAAGCTGTGGCCCAAGGTGCAAGAAGCCAGAAGAAATGGGAAAAGAGCCTTTCTCAAAGAAGGCTACGCACTCATTGAGGGACACAGAATTTGCCCATAACTGATATTTTCAGCAAGGTAATATTCAAGCACTTTGTCAAAATATACATGATTTCATTACAAGTATATTTGATGAGAATTTAAACTGATAATACTTCATAAGACACAATTTAAAGCCCAATAAGTTGGTATAGTTATGTTCTAAGGGCAACATATTTTTATTTTGCAAGGAACAAAAATCAAAATGTGTTTTCTTACAAGAGACTCATTCTGTTATGACTGACGAAAAGTTTTGGAAAGGTCAGTGTAGTAGGGATGTTAAGTGACTTTTGACTTCAAGTCATGATGCAAAGGTCCCCTTTGGCATGGAAGTACCTTAGGGCCATAGAAATAAATTTATCCTAAGACAAAAGTGAGATCACATTTTGTATCTAAAATACGCATTTTTTAAAAAAATGGCCGCCGGCTATACTTACTTATCTTTGCTTCCGTTATAGCTATAATGAAAAATTTGGTGTCAAAGTGTACATGTTTGGGATCAAGGAATCCAATAAAATAGGTTCCAAGACTAAAAAACAATAATGATCTCCTTACCATGACAACTGAAGGTAAAATATGCAATTTTTTATTAGAAAACACATGCCAAAAACACAGTCCATTCACAACTTAATAATAACTTAATAAATAACAACTTAAAGTGTTGAATTCAAATAAACACAAGAAGTTTGTGCTCTAGAGAAAGGATCAGCACTCAGTGAATACCTCCTCAGCCCTATGATAAGCTATCATGGCAAGGCTTAACTACACAGACTAGTGAGCAGTGATAACTAACATGTCTTTGGGGACATCAGGTGGGAACCTCCTTTCACCAGTGTTTCGTCTAGTTAGTCCCACGACACCTCCAGGAGGCTAGACAGTGATCTCTGGCGTCCAAGAGACACTCCCCTAATGCCAGGTTTCACTGCTCCCCACACCAACCCAATAACCTCCTTTACCTTACTTACACATGGCTTTCTCAGCCCAAACAGCACTGCCACCTTCAACCAAACCCAGGCTCCGTACATGCGAGCTCCAGGTAGAGACAGTGCTGATACTACCTTTCCTAGCACATTCACCATACTCTATTTCACACGCTACATAGCATAACTACAATATAAGCTAAAGTTAAAGGAGATAGAGAAGATAAACTCACAGGATCAGCAAACACACTCATCTTGCAGCATGTTCTCAAACAAAAGGGATTCAAATAGGCCACTCCCACACTTAAATAACCTTCCTCTTCCTGGATTTCCTCCTGAGAGAAAGTGGATCTCTCCACCTGATCTCAAGGAGTTATGTACCCTGCTTTGTAGTTCCCCCTGTTGGCCCCCAACTGACATTATTTCTTCGCTTCCAGATCCATTGGCTTGCTCTAACTGCTTCATCTGACATTTCATTCATTGTCTTCCTCAAGCTCTGTCCCCACACTCCGAGTTCCCCCAGGAGTGAGACAGCTGATCTTGCTATGAATCCCCTACACCCCACTTCCCAGCCAACATTTGTATGTGGGGCCCAAATGGGTTAAAACATGGGCCCTATATGGGATTCTCCATGGGTTCCATAATGGCCCCATTCCATTTGCCCACATGGTTGGGTTTAATCAAGTGGGCTCCACATGCTAGGGCCACCTGGATACCAAGTGGGTATGGGCACAAAATGGGCATCTTATCTGGGCCCTTATTGGGTAAACCCACCCATGTGTGCAACTGGCATGGGGCCAATGTGGAACCTGTGGACAATCCCACATAGGGCCCATTTTCACGTCCATTTACGACCCACATGGGCCCCACATACAAATGTTGGCTGGGTTCCACTGGACAAATCCTAGTTTTCCATCCTCACTGCTCAGCTTCTGCTCCTAAATCTGCATATCTAAGCTTTTTTCTTTCATAGGCTTCTTCCACTGAGTCTTCTCAAGGAACTGTCAGCTCAATGAAATAAACTTTCCGTTGACTCACTGACCACAACACTTTATCAGGCCTCTGCTTGGTACAAACTATTTCCTGGGGAACAACAAGCTTTCCCCCTAAATCTACTTGCATTTCCATTTGGCATTTGCATTGCCTGCAGCTAAACATTTCAACACCTGGTTATGTCGCCATGTATATCAGCCTTGTGACAAGCTAACTTTACAGCCTGACAAAATATGCTTTAAGGTTGCGGTACCTGAAGACAATGAGCATGATGGATCCTCATTTACCCACTAAGCTTCCTCTTCTCTCCACTTTCCCAATTCAAGCCCTGTCCCTGTTTAGCCTGGGCCACTACCTTTGCACCCCTTAATATCTCCTCCTGTCTACGTATCTGTTCCACGACCAGCTTTCTTTTATCTTTGAGACCTGCTTAATTCCATACTGGTTTGCCTGAGCCAAGCCCCAGGCCTCCCCGGCCAAACTGAACATTACCTACAATCTCTGCATGCCTAAGAGATGCCTCTGCCTCCTGAACTGCCGATCTTGGGTTCCACTTCCTCCCCTTGGTTGGATTTGGAACCACACTCCTAACTACCACGTCCTTACTCCCAGATAACAAGAGCTCTGTCCTGTCCTGATTTGCATAGGCTACTGGTCGAAATCTCATGCTACTTAGGACAAATGTAATGTACAGAGGTAGCTGCACTGCTTAAATACAAAATTAAAGTTTTTGAAGGAAAAGATAAGTAAAGTCACTCTGATGACACAATTTTTTATGTGAAATGTGCATATTTACCCCCAATTGTCATGGTAAGGGCAAAACTGTTGGGTTTTTTTAAATTTGAAACATATTTTATTGGATTTCTTGACCCCAAAAATGTACACTTTGACACCAAATTTGTCATTATAGCTATAAAAGAAGCAAATATATGGGCTCTAGAGTATTT